CATGCTGAGCAAAGTTGGAAGAAGCACCACTGCGGTCAGACCATGACATGGATTACTGGAATGAAGAATCCAGCTTCAGTGTGTTCTCTGTTCCATTCAGCCCACCTTCAAGGTTGGTGCCCAAGGACTGAGGATTTTCCTTGGTTGGAGACTCTGAGATGTATGGTCCACCTTAGAATTAAGTGGTGCGAAATCGCAAATGTGTAGCCGGTTCACAAACTGGAGAACAAGCAGAAATGATCAGCGTGTAGGAAGGCAGGCAGGCTGACACCGACTCACACGTCGTACTACATGCTAATGCCGTCAAGCTAGCACTCAGTCAGTCAGTTGATTACCCGATCGATCGATCAATCAGTTTGTCCACAGGCATGTATGAACACGAAGTAGTCAGTTGTAGGCCACAACCTGCATTACCTTTCACTAATAAGCACGTAGTGCAGTTGCCTGTGCAGATAGGTAAACAATACACGACCTCCCGGTCCAAAACTGAAAAGGCCCCAGTTTTATATTTCGTTAACAAACAAATCGCAATAAAGACGAATCCGATAAATCAATTGATGGAAACAAGTACGGATCACGTGTGCAATATTGATTCAAATGACAGAGACAGTCACGTTTTGCCTTCCGTTGTGCAAGAAAGAGCCAACCAAAAGTCTACTCAAGAAGATATTCAACAACTGACACCTGGTTTGATAGCTGGCACCCAAATATGTGCAAAACACGATGCGCTGTTTCCGATGATAGAGACTTAGAAACAAATGGATATCCACCAAGTCTACCCTTGTCAAGATTCACACAATCGTACCACAAGGTCGCACGCGATTCGTCAGAAAGGAAAGATTCATTACATTGAAAAAGGAGAGTCCAGATTCTTTTCGCCCTTGAAAATTGAAAATAGGACCACACCAAAAATGACCAAAAGTCGGATTCATGAGTAGCTTCTCAGATTTCTGCCACCCAAACCTTGCCGGTCTCAATTCAAAACTGATTATCGAAACAGAGACCATTTCGAGACTGCACTTAGGAAGTCACGAAAAATGCAACATTGTTCAGCTCAGATCCGGAAGACATTTTTCATATTATGCAAGGTTTATTATGTCATGATTTGTTGTTGTTATCTGTGAAAAATTATCTCTTATTTAATTTGTGGAAGGAGAGGTGATGCTGTGGCCTAAAACATGCCTGTGGCAAAATTGATTGATCGATCTATTGGTTGATTGATTGAATGACTGTTTGAATGCTTGGCTTGATGGCATTCACATGTACAGGTCTAATCGAAACTGAAGCAATGGGTCCCTTTGAAACACTTGTCGGTTCGTACAGGCAAAAGAATTTATATTGAAGGAAATTTTTTTCCAAATAATAATAAACAAACATCGATGAGTATGACATGTGAGCCGGTGCCAGCCTACCTGCCTGCCTGCTTGCTGCACATTTACTGTTTACAACAACCTAATGCCTAATTCGTTGTGCTCATTTACCTACTGAATTGCGAACACAACAATACTGAATTCAAATCCAAAGGCCATGTGTATCACAGGCCTCTAGAAGCTCCCTCATCGATGCCACTGTCACCTTTCCCGAGTTTGAGCTGTGCTCCACAAATGTATGGATGAAATTTTGCGTCAAAGGCTCCAATCAGATCTCCCAGGGTGTGTGAGCTGTCGCGAGGTATTCGGGGCTCTTGAGGTTCATACACGCATTTGGAAAACCATCCATTTGTACAGTTCATCCTGTCAGTCTCAAATCGCCCCGGATGCCTCCTTTTTAAGTCACTTGTTGGATTGCACTCAGTGTTCAGCAAATAAGATACATCTCTCAGAAGCTGTCAGAAACTGTTGAAACTAAAATCTATCTGTCACTTGTTAGCTGCATTTAGTGTGCGCACGTTATCAGATTGAACAGAAGGCTTTCGCAGCTACAGCCCATGTAATTTTCAATTAGTGTATGTGATCTCTTCGAAACAGGTATGAAAGACCCGCATCCAACAGGCAGTACCTTGTGATCTCCAGAAACGATCTTATCCGCATACCACACTCTCTGTTTGTCAAGCAATCCGGCGTCCGAGACTCGCGGTGTTGCTGGTGTCTAGAATCGTACCAAGTGCCAAAACTGGGAGATCAATTCTTGATCCAAATTCAGTTAGTAACCGACTTTGCGCCGTACATCTCGACAGTTCAGTACGGTTTAAAAGCTATACAACAATTTTCAGTGCCCATTTGTCGTATCCGTTCATAGACTGATCGATTCAAGTTACCCAAAAATGAAGAATATATTCTACACGGACCCTTCCCAATTGATCCAGAGCGCTCAGTCATCTGATATCGTAATAGTCACTAGAGACTCGGATGCTTAAGTGGGATAGCTGGAAGAATCACAAAGACCACTTCGAGGTCCACAAGCAATCCCAGTCAAACTGACAGACATCGGGGATCGCTTACGTTAAATTTGCGCGGACCACGGATTGGTTATCTTGAGCACTAAGTACGCTTACAAGAAACAATACCGCTTTACATGGAAAGCGTCTACCTCTTTATTGTGATAGACTCAAATCGATCACCCCTGCACAAACGTATTGCAAACTACCACTCATACTGATAAGTATCCGTGGACACGAACCCTGCTCTGCCACAATCCAGGGTCTCCCCATGTCTAGGAAATAACCACACAGAAACCAGTGACAATGGAGTCCCACAATACCGTGTCAACAATGGTTGCAAATCGGCCGTCAAAGCCAAACCCTATGATTGCCTCTCAGTTCAACCACCGGCCAAAGGACTCTGAACACTGAACATTATTTGATGAAGCCATCCACAATGTCAATCAACACACAGGAATATCCCGGTGGAGCTATGAAAACAAAAATGATGGATCTCCTCGACCTCGGCTGCCCTGCTAGATGCTGATAAAGCCATTCTTTCTTATATCAGATACCACGCACCAGGCAAATGCCTAAAAAGCAGCCTATGAGGAGCCTGCGAAATGACCGCGACAAATTGCGGTTAAGTAAGTGTTGATATATGGTGAAAGCTGTGACTATCGATCATTGTCGCAATCTTTTTCGTTTAATTAGGAGTACTAGCTCAAGGACAGTAGACGTAAATGAAGTTAGAGAGAGTGCGACGGTACGCGGATTCATATTCAGCAATACCGTTCTGAATGAACATTTTACTGCTCAGCTGAGGTCACCATCGTCGAACCTACAGACCCCCAATTCCAGCTTCAACTATGCAACTTCTGTGGCCTTTATCCTGCGTCTCGGTGACAAGAGATTCCAGTCCACGATTGCTGATGGGATACTGTGCTTCTGTTGCGACCGTAATTCGTTACCCGTCATCCATACCGCCTTTGATTACTACAATATTTTAGATATCTTTTGGTCATCCATTCTGCTCCGATAAAAACACCCGAAGACTGAATTTTCGTTACTCCAGTTTATCTGTAATTAGTATTTTNTATTTTTTATGGACCTACTGGATTCTGAAGTCCAAACTGAACAGACTGTATATGGGGAGATCATCAAACGAATTTTGTCAACTATCGTCAAATCAATTTAATTCGGTCACGTAAACATGGTCGAAAAATATTGTGCTAACAAAAACCCGAATGACGGAGATTGAGAATTGCATCAAAGCATTAACAATAAGAACGACGACAAAAACAAAAATGATCTGCCGGGTGGTCCGTTCGCATGAACTTTGCACTGCTCCCGATGTCTCCGGTTTGCTGTTGCGGTACCCATCAGAGCCACAGAGAAGCACTATAAATACGGAAGGCAAAACTGTGGCAATCAACTCGTATCAGATCATCAGATAAACGGAGAAACACAACTGAAATGCGTCTCAGCTTGTTCTTCCTCACTCTTCTGGCAACCTATGCCAGTCAAATATCTGCTAACCAATCGAAACACTGGGCTGTGCTTGTGGCTGGATCACACGGTTGGGACAATTACCGGCATCAGGTGAGCCCCTAGGTCCTGTTTCGTGTAAATATCAGTGATTTCCCTCTATTATTTGTTTCTGATGTAAATTAGGCTGGTTGTTGGCATTTACTTTTTTAAATTTTTGAAATCTCATTCCCTGTGGTGATGTATCATTCCTCAATTCGATTGAAGATAGGAATAAAGTCTCCATTAAATTACTCACTCCTAAAATAATGCCCATTTGAAGTAATTTAAACCAGATAGCTGCTCAGCGTGGTGAGTTAATCGAGTGCCATTCAGTTCACACCTGGGACTTGAAAGCTGCAGCTTACAGTTCATTATACACATCATTTTTTGAACACTTTCAGTCACGGTCCGAATGCCCCCACATGCCAGAACGATTGTTTCTTTTAGATTCATGATAATGTGTCTCGGAATCAACTGAGGTTCTCCGCATTTTGTTCCTTTCCTGTTCAGTCTGACGTCGCTCACGCATATCAATTGGTGAGTAAAAATGGAATTCCGCCGCAGAACATAATCACCATGATGGTCGATGATGTGGCCAGAGATCCAAAGTGAGTCCTGTACAATTGAGCAGAAAATGAGCACGCAAACGGATGGTTTGTTTGAATGAACCATGGGAGATATTCAGATCATGATTGACATAGCCATAGAGGTTCGATGTCTGATAGCATCAGTGGGTATAGTGTAGGGAGTCTAGAAGCATTTACTATAATTCCACTAAATTGATAATGCACCTGTGATTGAACATAGAAATGCATGATTTTGTCAGTTGAATAAGTTGATGTGTTGTTCAGCTCTTCTGTCGTCTGTCTCAGTATCACGTCACTCCAACTAACGAGGTTTGGTCCCCGATTCCAGTGAGCATACAGTAGATCCTCGTGAATATGAATGAGGGCTACCCAAGAAGAGGTTTTTCCGACTAAAATGAGTGTAACAGCGATAGGTAGGTCAAGTTTGCCCGAGAGTCCGGTCGGTTTCAAGGTACTACTATAAAATATTCAATTTGACGGATTGTCCGCTTAGAAACATGGTATCTCACACTTTGGACTATTTCACATATGTTCTGATGGTCGAAACTTATAATGCAATTCCCATTGATAGCAGAATGTTGTGTCTCACTTCCCGTCCGAACTGACAGAAATCCGTTTCCAGGGAAATTGTTCCAAGACTATACACACCAAGATGTTTATGCCGGTGTCGTTGTGGATTACAAGGGTGCGGTAAGTCCATGGGTCCACGAGCGGCATGAATTATTCCGTGGTTCTACATACACTTTCCCATCTATTTTACTCCGCTAAGACAATTGCATTGAGTGGAACCAGTATTTTTTATTGAACATTGAATAGTCAATCAACTGAATCAATTATTTGATTTCTGGCATGAATTCAGTGAGATTGCCCGAACACGTTCCCGTCTATTGCATTCTCCCGCTTACCAATGACCTACATTTCTCTCTTTCCCCTTCAGGATGTCACAGTGAACAACTTCATCAACATGTTGAAGGGTGATCCTGCATTGAAAGCAGCCGGAAAGAAGGTGCTCGAATCGTAAGGTCTACAGCATGATGTATGATTTGTTTGTCTCAATTTTCAGGTATTTGGGAAAACCAGTTGATTTTGAAATGTCGACGATTCCCTCTAGGGCGGGTTGATAGAGATAGATCGCTCGTGAACTTTGTTCGCATATGGCCTGGGCGTTGTTTCCAGTCAGTGACCCAATTTTGTCACCTATCAGTGCCCCAAAGTGTGTGACCTCTCTTATGGAAATATTATGTAATCATTTTTAGCGAGATAATGGGCTTGTTAAAAAAGATTATGTTCGCTTTTAAATACGCTCATGCTCTTGAACCGAATTCCTATCGAGGCATATACCATGTAATATATCACGTTACGCGCAAACCTGTATCGCTAACAGGTGATTATCGGTGATCACGCGGGAGTTGGTTAAAGAGCGAATTAGGAAGAACGCATTTGCAGTGAATGGCAGGTTAATTGAGACGAATACTAATTTTATTCTAACTGAATAATTTGGACGAGTGATTTTTTCACAGGGGCCCGAATGATAACGTCTTCATTTATATGGTCGATCATGGTTCACGTGGACGTTTCGACTTCCCAAATCAGGTGAGTCAATTCCTGCTAAGTATTGATTGCGATGTTGATCGTGTGTGTTGTTATCAAGTTGTATCAACAGTTGATCGTTTATCGCGTTCGTAGCCGCTCCAAGCGAAACTATTCATGCAAACGCTGGTCTGGTTGAATCAGGCTCGACGGTACAAGCAAATGCTTATCTATATTGAGGCATGCTTTTCCGGATCTATGTTCGAAGGACTCTTACCACAAAACATCAAAAGTGAGTGATCGACACTCTGTTCGTTGTTTGTTCCCTATCTGGTTTGCGGTGTATTTTGGGGCCGTTTAGATTACTGAAATGTACTACCACATTTCCATCCGCTTGTCTAATCATATTCCGTTTTTCCCCTTGTGAAATTTCCGGGGAATGTTATCGCTGTCCACGTGTCTATGCTCGCTGTTCCACAGTACATGGTGTGACTGCAGCTTTACCGTATCAAACATCACGCGCTGCTAATTGCTGGGATCCAAGTAAATTACCATGCTTGTCTAACGAATTTTCATATAACTGGAAGATGGATTCATTCAGTGTAAGTGGATATTAGTTCTTCGACAATGGATTTTTTGCAATGCATTGATTCAACAATTACGATTTGCGTTTCATCGATTCATATTATTGCATATCTCAATTAATTTTTGAGTAAAAATAAGATTTTAGACGCTATACGCTCCAGTTTGGTTGAGTTGCCGAACTTTTGATACATATGATGGTGGTTGAAAGCGTTGATTGCGATCGCGTTTTTGGGTAGTATTTTTCACCGGCGGGTGCATTTTGTACATCAGGCCATATTATTGTACACACACACACACCTCAGATTACATAAACCATAAACCACATTTCCTATGAAATAGGTGATTGACGGGCACTGAAAACGGTGAGGCAAAGATGCATTGGCTCAACAAATTTTCACTTCTCAGCGCAAAACATGACAAACGTTTATCTGTAGTTTACAGTAGCACATAACAGATAATCTGGTTTTTAACTAATTCGCGTTATTTCCTTGGTTGTGTGGGAATGTTCTGTGAGCCGTGATCACTGAAAGATCCAATAATTGGTGCACAAACGACTTGAGATGGATGTTCCAAGCTTTGCACACTCTGACTGCAAAGGAACGATGCCCGCATTTCACTGGATACACAGAGTCTAATTAGTAACTTGGAACGATGTCCTTATAAGGTATTTATTGTTCGACAGCGTACCACGTCACATGGATCTGAAGATCGGAGTTGTAACATTCCAGTCATTATGTTTCATTTTTCTCCGGATGAACCTCAAACACAGATGGTATTCCTTCAAAGCACATTGTTATTTTTTCAAAGATGTTGATGAAATGCGTGAGCTGTACTGGTCTCACTCTTTATTGTTTATGCTTTTCCATTGCAGCACACTTTGACTACATGGACGGTGGGTCATCAGGTGAACGCGGTGAGACAAGCGGTGATATGCAGCGCTGTCCAAGCCTACGGTGATTCGGTGAGTAGCATCCGCGGACTGTCGCGGATATATTCGTTTGCAATGAATTCGAATGAGATGCGATCAATACTCACTCCCAATATCGACAGCAAGACCAGAAAGTCACGTGCGCTTTAATGCGAGCTGCAGCCCAATTTGCATTCGGAATTCAAATTCACTCATGCTACTGTATGAGTGGACGGCTGAAAGAAAGTTTGATCAATTCCTTTAGGTGTATATTTTAAATCTTTGTGATGAAAGGGAAACGTCCTAGTTTGTTTTCGTTGGTTCCGCTCCGTTTTAAAATTTACACGGGGGCCACCACATATGTTTCCAAAAGATAACATCCTTAATGCGACGCTAACGAGTTTCCTTTCAACGAAAATCGATACCATGTGTCTGAAATAATTTTGAAGAATTCGACACAAGACTGTCCCGACATTCGTTTCAAGGATATTTATCATCCCGAACGTTTCCGGTAATGAATTGGCAAATACTACTACCAGATGCATGTTATCTCTCACACGTCTTTTCCCTACCTTTATCCCACCCGCTCAGTCCGTGAGTACCTTACCTCTGTCCGAATTTCAAGCGAAGGGAAATAGCCGGATGGTGAGTCATCAGTTTGAATGTAACGACCATGGTTTCGTTTTGTGTTGCATTTTGTCATGATAACGCATCCCGACGAATTGAGCACATCCATTCATTAAGTGATAACCGGACACTGATGTTAGTGTGCGTATGCAATGAACAAGAATAGTTTGCAAACGACAATTATGAATTGATTTTAGAAGTTTCGTCCGCATAATGCGCCTGAGTCTGTTATGAATGATTGCTTTCTGTGATTTTGGTTTACCTCCAAACGCCTTCACTGTGATTCACACGCTGTTCCGTTTTGTTCTCCACTTGTTCGTGCCCAATGATCCTCGTGGGGACAGACGAATGAAACGAGTCCGGTTGTACAACCATCCCCCGCCAGGGACACGGTGCCTGAAGACCAGGTACATTTGTTCCAGTTAAAACGTCGACTGTCCGTGAACCAGTCACCTGAACAACTGGAGTTGGCACGTCGGCGCCTAAATCGTGCGACGCAGGTAAGCTTCCAGATGGAATTCACCCATGAACACCATCTCGATCGATCTCTAATTGAGAGTATTCATCTGAACGCGTATATCCACGACCGATATTTTTATTTAACGAGACAACACACAAACACACACGAATTGGTGCTGGGTGTCCGAACACGATGTAGAAAGTAGCCATCCTTTTCTTACCAAAAATGATTCGGTAAACATCTAAATGTGCTCATCCGAATCGCGAAACCACTCATACCATTTGCACTGTCCAAATTTCCACTAATTTGTTTCTACGCCACCGGCTCTCAGCATCGTGTGAACGGCGGCAGAAAATAAGTACATTCTCACATTCCGAGAATCAAATGGTACACTAATGGGCTAACGAGGAATTTTTAGCCATGTAGAAGGTCTGCAACATAGTACGATTTGAGACGCTCATTATTCATTGTGGGTGAATATCTTCACTATCTCTTCCAGCTGGCAAGGATGGCCAAGGAAACGGTCGACGAGATTATAGAACAGGTTTATCGCAGTGCCACGCCGTCAAACCCACGCATCGACATTTTTGAAACGCTGGATTGTCACAATACAATTACGGAACAGTTTGAGTTCAAATGCTTCAGCCTCCGTCAAGTGAGTACAGATCAATGTGTTGGAGACTTTCAGGGAGGCTGATCGCGGAGACAGTACAGCCACGAATTCCCTACAGATTTTGAACGGAGCTAAACACAGTGTGCTTGTACTGGTCTGTGAATTCAGGCGAAACGAACACAACACACAGCAACACCTTTTTTCACCTAGCCGTTAACCAAATTTGAACCATAAATCATATTCTTTTCATCTGGTTTCAGGTTCCTGAAGCAGCATACGAAATGTCGAAACTTTACCGGCTGTGTGAGCTCGGCTACGACGCAAAGTCGGTTGTACAAGAGATATTTGACAGATGTGGTTAGGTGACAAACCGTAGTTTTCACCGATTCAACGATCAATCAGTCATTTAACTCGTTAATTATTGTTTTGTATGTGAAACGCTTCTGTTGTCACGGAATACATTCTGCTGCATTCATCATTTGTGTTTGTTGTTTTGGTTACACCCGGATCGGGATTGTGAACGAAACGGTCAGTTAGTGTTAGTGTTTGTGTTGAGGAAAACCAGTTGTGTTCGTCGTGCGCCAACCCGATCTTCCAGAGCTTTATTGTAGATGAAAACCAAATAACCTAAGATGAAGTGGTTGACAGAGCACCGATCTCAGAATGCAATTGTGAGCGAGCGATTCGTGTGGGACAATCCAGGGCTCGGTAAAGACCAGTGGTGAAGCCGGTGGATTAGTGAATCATACCACGAGGCCACGATACATTGGGATGCGGATTAGCAGGTGAGACCGGTTTGGTGCTGGTCACGGATGCGTTTGTGAAGAAAATTGAATATGCACCAAAAAAGAGTTGTGAACGCGGGCATCAAAAATGAGGTTATTGAGGAAATGAAATGTTTTCTTTTCCCAATTCGAGTTCTCAATTAAACTAATCTGATCCGTGACGCGTTCGAGTGAAGCATGATTTCCCACCTCAGTGTGCTGTTCTGACATTTCTTAAATGTCCATTTAAGATCTATCAGGCGCAAATTATCGCTTATCACGTGTGATGTATTATTTTGACCCTCTGTGGATATTTTGTAATAATTGTAGTAATCGTAGTAATACGTACGGAATTCGGAACGCCAAACACGCAATTTGAATCACAAGACCCGAATCAATAATCAGCTATCACGGACTGGATCGCAGAAGCACTGGACCACAATGGCATGGGTTCGCGATGTCCCACGAGAACGAGACGCGAGGAGAAGGCCACAGGAATGGTAGTAAGCAGTAGTTCGTTTATTGAAAGAAATGAAGGTGATTTAATAATATGTACAAAGGGAGATTATTGGCTATCTGGGCATCCACCAATTGGATTGCAGCAGTGCTTGCATAACCTTGCTTCTGTCTGCATTGTCTTGGATTGGCTGGCACCATCCACTAATGACGTGTATTCAGACTCTGTGCACGTGCTATTGACGTCAGCATTCAAACTTGATTGATCGCGAATGTCCTGAAACTGTAACGCGCCGCTCCAGGATAGGCGTCATCGTGTAGGCCTGGATAACCACATATTTCCATCCAACAAATGTCTCGGCCAGCCTCCCCTTTGTTACAATCTATTCGGGGATATGAGTAACACATCCCTGAACCAATGTAAAACACAGAGGGCGAACACTTGCTCCATTGGACGACCGTGATCACCTCAAGCTCTACACCTAAACTCTCTTACATCGCTGAACTCGTGCAATGCTGCGTAGTCCGTAGTGTTCGAACACCAACAATTGATCTTTAATCGGCTTTCCTAATGATCCGATTTCTCCGCCTTATAGAAGAACTGACTGAAGCGCCGCAGCATATACTGGACACCTTACAGACAGCCTGATGTCGCGGAGGTGCCACAATGTCTCAAAATGACAAAATCGAACCAACCATTCTGTGAGCAACCTGCCACTACATCCGCAATGTATCCATCGGGTCACATATAGTTATCAAAATAAGAAAGCTTATCCACTTGCTCTATTACTCCCCTAGTGAGAGTGAGACTGAGTGCAGGACCGACATGTTGCACTGTGAAGATGTAAAATGCATACCGGAATGGGCTACACTTGCACACAAACCATCCAGAAACGTCTGCGACATACATGGATTATCTTTTAGCACCACAAAGTCCTCTGAATAATCTAAATCAGACAGTCTGCCTTCTGAGGACAAAGAGGTCCCAATATCCTTGCTGAAGGATGGGGCTATTTCTATAATCAAGTCTATAACAAAGTTAAACAGAAAAGTAGTCAGAGAGAAGCCCTGGTGAACGCCACCACCTTTGGTGAACTTTGGGCAAAAACGTATCGTAAACTCAAACCCGACTTCGGATATTAGTACGAAAGTGTCGTTATATTGAAATAAACTTATCGGGTGCATCCTTCAAGGATACGTAACGCCAAAGTATAGAGCGGTCGACTGAGTCAAAAGCCGCTTTCAGATCAACGAAGATAGAGATGGTGGGTCTATGAAAAGAATGTCGGTCCTCCAGAATTTGGCGAAGAGTATAGATTCAGTCTACAAAACGTCGAAGAGGTGTAAAACCTACCTGATTCTCACGCGTGCGCTGTTTACGTGCGGCAGAAAATCGACGGAGTATGATACCAGCGAGAAGGTTAGAAGCAATGGTCATTAAACGCACTCACCTCTGGTTTTCACTGAAGGATCTGTCGCCCTTTATGTAAATCACTAAAAGTACCGACTCACCATTCAGTTGAAGCCTGTTTCCTCTTCCATAGTGATCTCGAGTTTCGTCAACTCCAGGACTAACTCAGAACTTTCACCACTAAATACCAATAGAAGCAGCCAATGTGGGCTTTACGCTTGTTAACTTTTGATATTATTTATTTATTTGCTTTGAAGAATTTGGAGATTTCCATGCACAAATGGTTGGCGTTTTCATCGGAACAATCCGTGGTCCATGCAGAATTAAATTAGGCGGTTGATTGGGATTGCATTGCACGGAACGTTTCTGGACCGTCCGGGTATTTCCCTTGAGCACTGAGGTCTTTGGCAATCACTATGATATGCGTTGATCGAACATTTTGGATTGATTGAGAACGATTTTTGAAATACTCATCCTCGCTTGCAGGTGCGCTGCAATCGGTCGGTGCATCGATCGATCTATGAATAAGCATCGGCACTTCGTTTTGTAGCGACTGGCCCGTGGTGATTCATACAGCCAGCACAGTCGGCCACTGACCGGAATCCAGTCCAGAAGTTAGCTCAGCCTTGGCAATTAGCTCAATCTAAACACAAGCAACACAGCGAGCGTCAGATGCCGAGTCCTCTGACGTGTGAAGTGTGAAGCGTGAGGATGAGGTTAGGTCAGAAGAATTCAGGAAAATGATTGAAGTAAGGTCTTGTATCCGCGTTTCGGAGACACTAGAAACATCTAAATTGAAAGTCTCAAAGATTTTAGCTAAGACAGCTTGTTGACCAATCTGATTGATCACACGTAAATTTATGCTGTTAAATGAAGGGAGTATTTTGGCTTCAAAAACGCTATAATTTCTGATGGTTTAGCCATATTGGTGAACCGCTGAGCGATGTTCGATGTGGGAAGTTAACAGGAGGCATGTGGGATTATTCGGAATTGAGAGCAAGAACTAAACTGATGCGAACAAGGTGTTTCTAAATGGCTGACTAAGACTTTAGTGCATGACATGCCGAGGTGACATCATCAGTGCTTGTGAAGTGGCAGTGTTCTGCTTGTATCCGTTCGATTATATATGTGTTCTTCTTTACCGATTATTTTCGTCCCCTGTTCTCTCTGTGTTCGACTCCGTTCGCCATTGAACTGAACAATGATAAAAATAACTGGGATAATAAAAACATTTTTGTGTGTTTCGCCATACACTTTTTGATATTATTCTTTGTTGTTCTTTTTTGATACAGGGCACGGAATTTCGACAGACACACCGTACAGCATTCGCGTCACTGACTTTTATTCTGGGTCATATCTCTCAACATCTCTAACCAACGATAATTCTCATCCCTTGGACCCCAACCTGGAAGGCGGGCTGCACAAACCGAAGCTAAAGCTGAGGCCAGGTTCTTTATGCTTCTACGTCATGTCACGGTCTGACCGCAGAAACTTGGCCATTCAAAAAACAGAACAAAGATAGACTGTCGGTGTTTGAACACCGCTGTCTACGTAGCATTGCACGAATCCGATGGGGAAACCGGACGAGCACTGGTGGGGTTAGTCGCAGAGTTGTGGGTAACCGCCTTCGCCCACTGGAGTAAGTGGTTGACCTCCATAGATTGCGTTGATAAGGACATGTGTTACGTATGTCACCAGATAGGTTACCACGGCGAGCGATGTTCACCGAGGCACGTAGTGGGTGGAATAAAGCCCAGGGTGGTCAAGCTAAGACCTGGCACGAGGGTATGAAAACCGTGACCAGGGGATTGGGTCATATAGGTTCGGTTAGACTCCCTGGATGGGGACCAAGGGATGATTGTAACCGATGGTTAGATACACTGAGCGATATGACTGAGTGTCGTAAACAGAGGTGTTTGTGCATCTTCTCAATTTCTTTGCACACTTAAATTCTCCATTTTCTGTTGGACTCTCAACTCTTCTGTCTTCCACTATTCGTCATCCAAATGGGCAGTCAAAAGACAGAAACCAAAACCGGCGCACGGAAGTGCATGGTTAATGAAATTTGGAAATATTACTTAGAGCAACTGCATGATCTGATTACCTGTGATATTGTTGTTATCTAATGTCCACCACCCCTTGAAGTTGATTTCCATTTCATTTAACAACAATGGGTTCACTTTGTTCTGTGTTCCTCTTCAGACCTGAAGACAGGTTGTTACGAGCGAATTCTAACCGCGATGCTGATGTGTGTGTGAGAGACTACATCAGGCGATTAAACAATGGCCTAATCCTGGATCAGGCTGGCTGTAGTGGTTGTAGTAATGCTAGTAACAGCACGCAATGAAGGCGAAACAATCACGGAATACGAATCATTGATTAGCAATCACAGACTGGATCACATAAGCACTGGATCGTAGTGGCACTTGCACGCAGTATCGCACTCACCCAAGAGGCAAAGAAAGCCTCAGGAGTAGTAGTTCGTATGTTGAGAGAAATTAGGGGGATTAAATAATATGTGCAAAACAAACTCATTGGTCATCTGAGTAATTTGCCAGTCGCATTCCAGTATTTCCGGCGTTGTTCTGCCTCTGTCTGAGCTGCACGGGTTCTCATCGACTGGTACGATCGACCTATGGTATGTAATCTGGAAGCTGTGGCAGGCACGCGCTTTACTGACGTCACCCTTGAAGCTGAAACGTGTCGCTCCGTGGTATGCATTATCTCGCTG